ACCCTCTAACTCCACCCATGTTGTTGCAAATGGTAGGATTTGTTTGCATCTTATTGCTGAATAATATTCCATTGTGTATATGTATCACATCTTTATCCATTCATCTACTGATGGATACTTAGGTTGCTTCCATTTCTTGGCTATTGTAAATAGTGCTGCGATAAACATAGGGGTGCATATGTCTTTTTGAATCTGGGATCCACATTCTTAGGGTAAATTCCTAGGAGTGGTATTCCTGGGTCAAATGGTATTTCTATTTTTAGTTTTTGAGGAACCTCCATACTGCTTTCCACAATGGTTGAACTAATTTACATTCCCACCAGCAGTGTTAGGAGGGTTCCCCTTTCTCCACATCCTTGTCAACATTTGTTGTTGTTTCCTGGCACCATTTCTTGAAAATTGTCTTATCTCTGCTGAATATTCCTGGCACCTTTGTCAAATAATAGTTGATGCAGTATGATTCCATTTATTTCTGGGCTCTGTATTTTGGTTTATTGGTCTGTTTGTCTGTTTCCCTGCAAGTACCATATTGGTTTGATGACTAGCTTTATTGTACACCTTGAAGTCAGAGTCTGGTGCCTCTTAATTAATGTTTCTCAGGATTTCTTTGGCTATTTGGGATCTTTTTTGTGGGTTCATGTAAATTTCAGGATTGTCTTTTCTAATTATGTAAATAATACCACTGGCATCCCTATAGGGATTGCATTGAACATATAGATGGTGTATTGGAAGTACTGACATATTAACAATATCAGTCCTTCCAATCCATGAACATGGGATACTACTCCATTTATTTTTATCTTAGTCTTTCATCAATTGTTTTATTAGAGTTTTCAGAAAAGAGATCTTTGACCTCTTCAGTTAAATTTATTCTTAAGTATTTTATTGTTTTTGATGTCATAAATGGGAGCAGGTCATTTTCTTTTCAGAAGACCAATTGTTCATGTATAGAAATTCTATTGATCTTTTTCTGTGTTGATTTCATGTACTGCAACCTTACCAGATTCATTGGTCAGAGCTAGGAGTTTGTTGGCTGAATCTTTAGAATTTTCTCTCTAAAATCCTGTCATCTGCAAGTTCAGAGAGTTTAAGTTCTTCCCTTCTAAACCTGATAACGTTTATTACTTCTTCCTATAACTTGGACTTCCAGTAACTATGTTGAGTAGGATTTGTAGGAATGGGAAGGCTCCTTTTGTTCCTGATCTTAGAGGAAAAGGTTGCAACCTTTTACTATGGAGTATGTTACTGAGAACTTGGCATATATGGCCTTTTATTATGAGATATGTTCCTTCTAGGCCTAATTTGTTAAGAGCTTTTATTATGAGTGGATGTTGAATTTTATCAAATGCTATTTCTGCACCTATTGAGATTATCATAATGATGCTTTTTATTTCATTTTTCCATTAATGGAATCTATTACATCATTTGCCCATGTTGAACTATTCTTATGTTCCAGAATAAGTCCCACTTGATCATCGTGAATGATCCATTTAATGTGCTGCTGAATTCAGTTCAGCGATATTCTGTTGGGAATTTTCACATCTGTGTTGGTCAGTGATAATTGGCTTATCCTTTCCTAGTTTTGGAGTCAGGGTGATGCTGGCCTGGCCAAGTGAATTTGGGTGGGTTTCTTCCTTTGTGATTTTTTGGAAGAGCACAGAGGACTACTGTTAAGTCTTAAATGTTTGGTAAAATTTACCATTGAAGGCATCTGTTGCTGGTCTTTGCTCTTTTGGGAGATTTTTTACTACTGAATCAATCTCCTTA